TACAAGAATCAACCAATGAATGCATAAATAAGTGGAACAACAAATCAATGTTTCTCTCTCCTTCTCAAAACAAAACAAAAATTGTGGTGTGGTTTTATTAAGAGTGCAATGCTGAAATGAGTTACTGAAATGTGTTCATTGTAAGACAGCAGTTACATAGCTGATGTCTTCCTTTTAAAAAAAGCATGATATCATTCTAAAGTCTATAGGGTGAGCAGAACATCTGGCTAACCAGGGTCACAACCTGGGCTTACTCAAGTGAAATGGCCAACGTCCTCAAGAGGATGGCCTCCTCCCCAAACACCCCTCACCAACGTGGTAAGCCACAGATGTGTAAAGATGACAATGATGATCACACTGGATAACCACCCCCTCCAGATACCATAAAGTCAAGTCTGAAAGGGCCTGCTCTCCCCCTGCCCTTCTATGACCCAGGACAGTCACTGTATGGTTGTGTAGGATTAGGAAGCTTGTAGCCATGTAAGGGGATACACCAAGGAACTCGCAGGGTTCTTGAACCTATGACCTGAGCTTCACCAGCATTACTTTCAGCAACTGCGCTCATCAGATGGACGTGTGTTCTGTTCTGAGGCCAGAACGAGATCTGAAAACTCTGTTTACCTCTGGCTCCCTTTCCTTTCCATGGGCTGAAACTAGTTCAAAGGCAGCAGTTACGTAGCTGATGGCTGTCCTGCAAGAACATGCCTGTGAGGTTGGCCAGGGACCATGGCTGTTAGTGTGTTGGGCACATCACAACAGGCTGAGTACTGAGGCTGAACGAGAGACTGCATACTAAAAATTAAAGTCACCACCATTTATCGAGTTCCTTACTACGGAGCAGGCACAGTGTGCTAAGTGCTCTATAAACATCTCCCCTTCGCAACACCTTTAAAACAGAGGTGCATGCTAATCCCATCTCACAGGGAAGAAAACCAGGGGTCAGGTTCCCCTGCTAGGAGTGGCAGAGCTGGGATTCCAAACCACGCCTTTCTGACCGCAGTGTCTATTCTGCCTTTAATGCAACAGCAGAAGAAGAGACAAAGTTTTAGAGAAAGAGGCAGCCGAGAATGACATCCACGTAGCAACCCATTTGCAAGCCAAGAGGTTTATTTACAGCTATTCACTCAACAGTTTTCGAATGTTTGTTTTGTGCTACGAATTGCGCCTGCACAACTTGGAACCACCAAAACATTAAAGGATATCAGGTAGCAGTCCTGGAGACAGAGAGGAGGGCAGCAAAATTCCAGAACATGCTCCAACAGTGAGAGCCTGCTGAGTGGGCAGCTCCAGCCGCAGGCAGAGTGGCTCCGCAGGTGGCCACGAAGAGGTAGCATCTCCAGCAAAGGTGTCAGGTATCCTGTGTGGGAAACCACCCAACCTCAACATGCAGTAGGCTCTGGGAGCAGGGCAGGGACGAGGGACCCAATATAAGGAGTGGGTCCTCCTTGCATATATTGTAGAAAAACTGATCGTCTATTCTGGCCTATTCATTACTCAAATGATAGGCTAACATGGCACAGCGGTGGGGAAGGGAGGGGTGGCCCGGGGACCACTTCAACCATGAAGGATCTTCAGCAACACTGAAAATGTCCTGTACGCCCTGGGTCCTAGGGGCTTGCTCCTACCTGTCACCATAAAGAGCCCAATCAGACACCTTTTACACATGCGTAAGTGACGGAGAAATCTGAGGTTGTATTTTTAGTTCAGCATTTCCCAAACTGTGTGACCACGTATCCCAGTTTGCCAAAGACAACCCTGGTTTACGTATGTTGTCCTTGAATAGTTAATAGTGTCCCATTTCATTCTTAAAAATGTCCTAGTTTGGACAATAAGTTAAGTGATCACCTAACCAAGGAAACTGTTTCCAGGCATATTAATAGCTATGTAGTCCTCCTCAGGACCTATAGCATCCCAACTTACATTGCAAACCTTGAAGAATGAAATCTACTAAAAACACTATCTTGATCAAGGAACTTAAAAGCAAAATATCTGTTATCATCTTGTGTAACTACCATACAACTTAGAAAATATTGCATTAAATAAAATTAAACAAGTTTGGTTGTTGTTGTTAGAACATATGGTTTCACAGAGATTTCACACAGGAGCACGTCATGAATTTCCAAGAGGGTCATATACTAGGCAGTTTTTCCAAACTTATTTAAACCTAAAATCATTTTTAATGAAATGTCAAAAGAGATCAGTATTCCACAAAACGCTCCCACATTTTTTTGGACAAATGTTGGCGCTCTAGGTCCTGGGGAGTCAGCAGTAAGATACAGTGCGTGTCCTCATGGGCTTTCACTTTAGTGAGGCAGACAGGCAATAAACCTGTAAACAGATCAATAAAATGTGGAAAGCGATGATCTATCCCCCAAGCAAATGACAGTCAAAATAAAACCCGCAATTCTGAGGAATATTCATGAAGCAGCAACCCATCTTCAGACAGGAGTTGGCAATGCTTCATGTCTGTCACAAGCCATCAATGGGCCCCATGTCTCCTGAGCAGTAGATATTCCCTTAACAAATCTCCCCTCCTTGAACTGACTGGACTTCATTGAGCATTCTGGTTAGTATACGTGTGCCTCTTGGGGGGAGTATGTCTCCCTCTGGCTTTTGTTTGTGGACTGTATTCATAATTTGTGCTTTTAGGAGTTTTTCCTGTTGTATCTAGACTAAGGTGTTATTGAAAACATCATCACTTTCAAAGAGATGTTTATAGATGCCTAGCACCTGGGGAATATATGAGAACAAATGGAGAGTTATTAAACCTATGCCATACATCCCACCCCTTAGGGCTAGGATGAGGGACAAGGAGGTGCTTTAGAAAAAAATACATGTGAGCGCACACACACACACACACACACACACACACACAAACTCCTCCCTTTGGATTGATTCTGTGCAGAATAGAGACTCATATTTAAATGAATAAGCCAAGTTAAAACTTTCCCTCCTGGAACAAAACAAAAGGAAAGCCTCTTTATGTTGCAGGGGCCTTCGATGCCACGGCTGAGCCTGTCCCAAAGTTTCCCTCCACTGCTCAGAAACTAAGCCAGCTTGCTGCATTTAGCACTTCTCACCAGACCACCCACCCGGACACGGATACACAAACCACATGTGTGAGGAATGCTGTGCAGCTAGGAAATCAGTATCAGCATTTCAACCTTATTACTTGCACAGACGGCCTTTTTAGTGAGACTCATTTGTTTTATCTTTTCAATAGCTTTGATTATTTTCTTTTAATGGCCTGGATTTATCCTTTTCTACTCTTTTGAAACTTCAGAACTCTGTGCTGGGGGCTGCATGTGGTGGGAGACATGATTACCAAGGGAAAATGAGCAAATAGCTGCGCCTTTACTCACCATCTATCTCCCCCTCCTGCGGCCACCTATTCTGGGTAGACTGCCGAGGGCTGGGAGTTAGCACACGGTGGCCTCCAGGAGCCTTCCATTCTGGTGGTAGGTGATGTTTGTTGTTATTTAACAGCGATTGAGACGGTTGTAATTACTGGGCTGGTTTTTAGTTTGTGCCACGTACTTCCCTTCCTAGCCCTCAAGTACCATATAGGTTACCCTTCTTTAATGAGGGGGAAATTAAGACCAAGAGGCTGACGGCCCAGGGCAAGTTAATGGCCTCTGGAAAAGTCTGGCATGGACTCTAAAGAAGGGGCCACATAAACAGGAAGGTGTGGATGCTGTCCCCTGGCAGAGGAAGCAGAGCCCTGAAATGTGCTCAGGGTATTCTATCTGGGTGGTATCCTGGGCAAGGAAACCAATAAAATACGCATAGTTGCCCCACTAATCAGAACAAACAAGACCATTGGTTTTGGACACTATGTCCCTGAATTACCAAACAGACAGGTCTGGGTGTCAGGACCCGGTTAAGCTTCAGGGCCCACTGTGTATCCAAGTGGGAACACAGTCCCGAGAGGCAGAGGGACCAAGGTATTGGGAGAGACTGTGGCCCACAACATCCTGAGTCGTCCACAGGCCCCAGATGCCCATCTTGACTTTCTCCAGGCTGGAGAAAACGCAGGGCCATTCTTTTAAAATAAACAAAAGAAAATCTACACCGAAACAAGGGACGAGATGAGTCCACTTCAAACCTGGTCGTTAGGAAGCTTAACTGTTGGCCCAGCCCATCTGGGGCTGATGCGTCCACACCTAAAGTCAGGTTCTAGCTGATAAGAGACAGGGCAGTCCGCTCTTATCTCCTCCACTGCTGTCAGCCTGAAGATAAGTTTCTCAAGTTTGATGTCTCTTTATTATTAAAAAGAGCCTTACATCCAGTTCCCTGGTTATCTGCCAAACTCAAAGTATTCTATTCTCTTAGTTGAAGTAGCTTTTCTCCTTCCTGTCTAGTTAAGGCAGCGTTTCTTGCTGCTAAAGTCAACACTGGACCTTTTATCAGACTGATTCTGTCCAGCAATAGCAGGCTGTTTAGTTTATGAACAAAACCTTCCAGATAAATAGGGGAAAAGAAAAAATATCAGGCACAAGGTACCTGATTTATTCCAAGAATGTGTGCCACCACTTTTTGCCCAGCTCTGCAGCACTTACAAAATGTACTGGTTTTAGGACACAGAATGTGGTGCTCAGACATGGGGATTCGAGCACTGGCAGTGCCTGCCTGGTCTGGTCTCTGCACTCTCTCTTCCAGCATTTTTCTTGAGACAGGGTAGAGGCCCATTTTTCTGCATGCAAAGCAAAACCAAACTTCTGTCAAATGACTCTTCACAAATCACTAAGACTATACATTCTAAAGAAACTGGAGCCACAATAGATATGAATTTAAGTAAAACACCTATTTCTGCCCATCTGTATGTACATTTCACCATGGGTGTTAGCAATGGGAAATACATCTTATGAATGCCTTGGGGTTCACATAACAGCATCTACACACACATACACAGGGTATCTTTCAACATTACTACACATACACACTCTATTAAAAAAGATACTGACAGATTTATAAAATGTATTGGCCTTGCACTATTAATCTCAAGAATCCATTTTTACTTAATTTATTTTTGCCCTGCATGGTAGCTCTGGCCACCGTTGGGGATCTGTCAGCATTTCCATCATAACTGTATTTTCAGAATGCTGGAATAGAAGTGCCAAAATACATATTTACAGTTTACAGACAGTGGTGACTTTGTCTTCCTCTTAAACTGACTTCTTCGATGCATCTTTATAAGGAATATTCAGGGATGGCAGTGCCCACATGATAAAAAAGCATCATATGAAACAAGAGGTCAAAAGATGCTGACGTCCAGCCCAAGGCTAAACCGCAGGGATTGACATTCATTGCAGCTGTAGATTCTATATCACGGTCAGAGTTTTAGGGCAACAGTCCAAGCAAGTTGATAAAAGTGTGTGTGTGTGCAGTGCAGCGCATGAACACACACAATGCTAAAGGGGGACAGTAATGAGCATACAGAAAACTACTCCAGAGCGGATCACATCCACAGTGAGAAAAGTGAACACCAGCCACCAACACAAACACTGACCATTTCCAACACTGAACATCCAACTCCGTTACCTGGGCAGAGTTAAAACATTGAAGAATAAAGTCTCTCTTAAACACGTATGTTAACTCATTAACGTGTATAGGGCTGGGAGTGGTATGCAGGTCTGAACTGTCTTTTATGAAGATTAGCTGAGCCTGTCGAAGGTATCTGCGGAAACATTTTTGGTGGAAGAAAACCAGATGGATTGGCTCTTTCCACAAGAAAGGTGCACAATTATTCAGATTAGAGAGATTTGCTTAGCAATTTTAAAAGGTTTAGGAGACGCTCTTATGATTTTTTTCTTCTAGGGTCCTGATATTCCGTTTTCATGGTCTTCCCTACTTTGACACAATACGCAGCACATATAGACATACCTAGCTGTCTACATAGAGAGGTGGATTATGGTAAAGAAACAAAGTCACTGCAAACATTGTTGTTGCTGACATGCCTGCCATCTGCCAGGACAGAAATACCCACTCTCATACATAGTCTGCTGCAACATCAGAGGCAAAAGCTAATTTATTAGGGGAAAAGTCCTGTACATACATTCCCCCCTTCAAATTACTGGGGGGAAATTTAAAGTAAGTTTATCATATTCTGTCTGGTTCAAACCACATTCACACTCACCCAATTAATTTTATATGAAATTAAACCCTGCCATTTTTCTTTTGTGCTTAAGAAACCAAAGCCATTGTTAGGATACACATGTGCCAAAAACATTTTTTAATAGGTTTCAAAGGCACGTGTATATAAATGTGGTAGCAATGAGTGGGTGACTTGAAGAGAGGTATAACTATTTGAAATTAATTGAAAGGGGATTTATTATTTCTGCATTTATAAATTAGATGAGAGCAAGAGTCTGACTTCTAAAAAGTTAACAATGTGACTCTTATGCTACTGGAATTTCGTAGAAAGCTCATTTTGCTGTCTCCATGAGTTGTGGATGGTGGATAGGTTTTTCTGAATTTTGTCATCAATTATAAACTTACATCTCGATGATGTCTGGTTTATTACCTAAACTTTACATCTAAATTTTATCACTGTAATAGTGTCTCTTCTTATTAACTTGTTTTGTTTGATCATTTATGTTACCTAGTGTTTTGGTTAGCAACCTAAGGAAAAAAAATATATTTACATTGCCAAATCACAGTTTTTGCCACACAATTTCATTACAAAAATAAAAATGGCCCCAACTACCTATGTACATTCCTGGTTAAAACTACACAGATATTTTAGTTAAACCACATACATTTCTGGCTTAATTAGAAAATGTCGACTAGCAGTTAGAAACTTTAAAGAGAGTTTTAAATTTTGCAAATAATTCCATATAAGCATTGCCCTCCCCATTAACCTGTGAGGTACAAAAACAAAAAAACAAACAAACAAAAAGACACACAACTAAAACCACGTAATTGGTCAGTCATCTAATGTTTACAACAACTCAAAGTTTCTCCTAAACATTGAGGAGTGGACTAGACAGCAAATGCTTCAAGGACGGCTCACGCCAAACATCAAAAATCACAACATTGTTGGAAACATACACTGTCCCCAGAGAGGACGCCTCAGAGAAGCATGGCTGTGTTACTTATTAAAGGAAAAAATAGTGTCTTTGGATAGAAAGAAACGACGTTTAAAAATCCCCTTTTTAAAATGCAGAAATAGCTCCATTATCCACCTGCATTTACATTACTGTCCAAAAGAATGGGTCTGGAAAGACCTTTTTCTGTACAGACACCAATTAATCTCTGGATGAAAAGACAGCATCTGGCATGGGAATAAGCAAGGGACACACTGGTCTGTTAGCACATAGGGACTTTCCTTAAGGCTGAGCCAGGGAGCGAACCTTTGGATCCAGAAGTATTTCTTTTCTTTCCAGTTGAGTTTCTAGAAAGATGAGCTGTTCTCACTTTGCATTTCTCCATTAATGGAGAGGATGGAATAATGACACCAAAAGTACTTTTGTTGTTGTTTTTTTTTTCTTTAAAAATAATTTGCTTTCTTTCGCATGCCACAGGACAGATTTCTAGTTTCAAAACAGGGTACATCAAGAACAAAAATATCCCCCCTCCCCAACCATCTTTATTCTCACCAATACAAGAAATCCTTCTGGAAACATAAGCAAGTGACTAAACAGGTATCAAAACACTGAATCTACAAGTTCATACATAATCTGTTATGGCAGAATAATCAAGAATTTCCCCCAAAGGAAGATTTTAATTTTCCAAATACAAAAGAGTCTAAGGGGATCATATGAGAACAAACAAAAATCTCTTATTCCAGGTTTTATGGTAAAGATGAAGAACACACTGGCAGCTGAAGAAAGCCGAAACTCTTACTAATAAATAGATCCAAATTAAGAATTTCTACAACATTTCTTTAGAAAACAGAACCAGAATTCCTCTTTTAAAAATGACGAACCTGTGGAATGCCTTTACTTCCATATCCCTCTAATATTATAACAGTAAAACAGACACACAAATGTTGATATGACAGCTCAACAAGGCTGGATGCGGGACGTTTACATGTACACTTTTGTTTAAAAGTCCTACAGGTTTATTGACTAAGGCTAGACAGCAAGTCATGATCCTGTTTGGTGCTTCTTCTACCATGGTCCAAGATCATTGTATGGATACAGCCAAGGACTGGGCCCCAACTTTCAGGAAAAAGACCACAAAGAAGAAAATCAGGGTGGTTATTTGGTCCCTCCCACCCCAAGTTGATCGTTTGTGTCCTGGAACTGGAAAAACAAAAGGTGGAAAATACAGACCGCAACGAGTTAAAGGAGTTGGAAAAAGTTGCTGGAAAGTGGCACGGTATACGAGTAAGGTCACTGGGCTTGGGATGGCAAGGGCGCTGCATTGAAAGAGCATCCACGGGACCAAGTACTTGTAATGTCTTGTGGTGTCATTCCCTCAACGACTTTAGGATATCTGTATGCGATAATAAATAGATCAGTTATGTAATAAGGCAGTGTGTTGAATATGCATTCGTCCTGTGGGATGAACCGCCACAGAGAGAGATACATGATACCATACACATTCTTTAAGTTTTCTTGTGTTGTGTTTGATTTGTTTGTTTTCAAGGCTATCCAGGCAAACTCTTCCCGGGGATGTCCTTGGAGAGAAGAGTGGTCCGCTGAGGCTGGTTTGCTTAACCTCTCCTTTATCAAGAGATGATGACTGGCTTTAAAGAAAAATAAAGCTGAAAGTTGTTTGATTTTTATTTTTTTTCCCTTTTGGTTGCATCATTCTGAGTGTTTTCTTATAAACAACAACAAAAAAAATATCACAACCAAAAAAAAAAAAACCCCGATAGTTTTTGATGCATCCAGTTGTTGTATCCTCAGGATGTTCCAGATGTTTCCAGGTAACTCTGTAGTTTACGGACTGTGGTTTTGTCCAGCGAGCAAAGGTCAAAATCAAATGTTGTGTTTGTGATGTGAAAGTGTCCAGTTTCTTCTATAAGGTTCACAATCTAGAGGAATAAAGAAGAAAAAGTTTGGGCAATAAGCAATGGACATTGAAAGGCAAAGAGAGAGAGGTGGAGGGGGTCAATAAGGAACATTTGACAAATATAGTAAGAAGGTCCTATACTGTTAATGGCACCAAAGTGTCTCTTAGCCAATTCGTAAGCCAAAGGAATATGTACCCTTTGAAATTCTGAGAGAAGGTTACCTGTTCTCATCATTCATATCCTTTAAACTGATTCATGCTTTCAAGTAATCAGCAGACTATTTTACTGTAGGGGTGAGAATAGGAGTAGGTTGTGAGGGAAAGATAGAATTTAAAGACCCCTTTAAAAATTAGTAACTGATTCAATGGACAGTGATTGTACCTACTAGATGTATGGAAATTCCAGCCTAGAAATAACAAAACTCCTTTATTTTTTTAAAAAGTATACAGTGTGGCTCAATTGGTTGGAGCATTATCCAGAACACAGAAAGGTCTTGGGTTCTACTCTTGGTCAGAGCACATACCCAGGTTGTGGGTTTGATTCTTGGTCTGGAGGCAACTGATAGATGTTTCTCTCTCACATCTCTTTCTCTCTCTCTTCCTCTTTCTAAAAATCAATAAAAAATAAAATAAAAACTATACACATAACATGCACACCTGTATCCACACATATATACAATGAACATTTTTGTTTCTGATTACACTACTGCTGAACTTTTAGAAAATACAAGAACCCACCAAGAAAAACATTGAAGCCATCTACAATTCTGCCCCCTGAAGATCAGGGGGATGGAGTGACTGGAAGGAGGCTTATGAGAGCCTTCTGGAACTGTTTTGTTGGTTGGGTTGGGTGCTAGTTATAAAAGATGCACTCACTTTGTTAAAATTCACATAGCTGTACATTTTATTATATTTCAATAAAAATGAATAAAAGTCTATATTTATTACTTATAGTCATGCTCGTTGACTCCCTTGAGTTTTTTGGGGTGATAAGTATTAACGAGTGAAAAAGAAAGAATGCCTTTGTCTCCCGTTTGGAATAGTTACACCTCATTTCTTACTGCACTGGCTCCAGCTTTCAGAAAGACCTATCGAGCCTCCTCCAATTGCTACACAACTCCAGACCTGGTTGTGATTGCCTTATTCAATCTCTGAAACTATTTTTACAGATATAACTATTGGTTTAATAATAATACAAGTTACTCCCACTGCAAACCGATGACATACATAGCAAACTGCCTACCCAATTCCCTTCTTCTTTACTTACAGAAGCTTGATTTTCTGGGAGTGGTGATACACCCAGCTACAACACCTGCCCCCACATTCCCCCCAGGCACTGGGCTGATACTGCTATTTAAATTGATTGTTCAGTAATCACTGGGCTTTCAGGAAAATTTTAGTAAAGGGTATGGCCTCTGCCCTCTGCCTGTCTGGAATGAAGATGCAATCCTGGAAGTGTAGTGGCTCTGTTCCCTCAAGAGGATGAATGCAAGATGTGAAGGATGTCAGAGCAGGATGGCAAGGAGCCCGTATCTTCAGTGGCATCTTTTAAGCTACCACATTGACCATAAATTACTTACTTCCAGGGCTGTTATTATGTGTTTGAGGTGGAGAGGGAGCCTTACTTGCTTAAACCACTGGACCTAGGGTTCTATTACATGCATCAAGAGATTATTAAAAGGGGTATTCCCAATTATGGTTAAATTACTATATTCACATAAGAATTTATCAAGCAAAATCTTAATATTAACACTAGATTATCCAAAAAGGACCATCATTTTTAAAATAGTTATAGAACTTTGGATAAGTCACACACATACACATCTGTATACATACATAGACACACACCCAGCTATGTCCACACACACAAACCTTTCAAGGCAATCAAATACTTAGTATATATTTAACATTCATTGATTTAAGAGTACTTTCCCGAGCAAATTATCTGTTATGCTCCATTGTGTAGAAATATTATAGAGCTAGTGAAAATGTGTAAACTTCCATAGAAACAAATTGCCTTTCAGTGGATACAATAGAGGCAAAAGACAATTATTCCAGAGTGTGACTCATCTCCCCAACCAGCAGGCCAGTAGGTAAGTGACAAAGCATTAAGAATTGAGAGTCCTGAATTTGGCATATTGAGTTCTGACTCTGCTCACTACTTGAATAGCACTGGATGGGGCATTATAACCTCTGAGCCTCAGTCTCCTCACTTGTAAAATGAGGACAATGCCAGCTAACCTACCATCATACAGTGTTGTGCAGAGGATCAAAGGAGATATGGTAAGTGAAGCTTCTGTATAAAGTGTAAATTGCTACACAGACCAGAGCAGCATGATTACGAATACCATATAAACATAAACTTATCCTTAATTATCTGGAAGTAACTACACGGCACATGAATCACCAGACCCAGTGTTTTTTTCCTATTCCTCTCATTGACTGTTAGCCATCCCATTAGCACTAAAACAGATGAGGCAGGGAAAATGCCAGAATTTAAACTCAGAGAAGACATACTTAGATTTTTAAAAAATACTTATAAGAAAACTTTGCAGGGGAAGGGAAGAAAGCAGGGAGAATGGTAAGTGAAGGAAATTAGCTGAATGACGAACTAAAAGGAAGGGTTAAGGAAGTCCCTTGAAAATGACAGGTACCTTAAAAAACTAATTTTAAGATACTAGATTTCCCCTGGCTGGTGTGGCCCAGCTGGTTGACTATCCTTCCATGCACTCAGAGGTCGCTGGTTTGATTCCAAGTCAGGGCACATGCCTGGGTTGTAGGCTTGATCCCCAGTAGGGGTCTTGCAGGAGGCAGCCAATCAATGTTTTTCTCTCCCTCTCTCTCCAAAATCAATTAAAAAAATTTTTAGAAAAAGAAAATAGTTCTCTGTGACTCAACATAGCTGCTCACTAATCTTATATAATAAAGAGGCAATATGAAATTGACCATCACACCCTCACACAAGATGGCCGCCACCATGTGGTCACAAGATGGCCACTACAAGATGGCCAGCAGGGGAGGGCAGTTGTGGGCAATCAGGCCAGCAGGGGAGGCAGTTGGGGGCGACCAGGCCAGCAGGGGAGGGCAGTTGTGGGTGACCAGGCCAGCAGGGGAAGGCAGGTGGGGGCAACCAGGCCTTCAGGGGAGGGCAGTTAGGGGCGACCAGGCCAGCAGGGGAGGGTAGTTGGGGGTGATTGGGCCAGCAGGGGAGGGCATTTGGGGGCAATTGGGCCAACAGGAGAGCTGTTAGGTGTCAATCAGGCTGGCAGGGGAGTGGTTAGGGAGCTATCAGGCTGGCAGGCAGCAGCACTTAGGGGCAATCAGGCAGACAGGCAGGCAAGTGATTGGGAGCCAGCAGTCCCAGATTGTGAGAGGGATGTCCGAGGGGTCCCAGGTTGGAGAGGGTGCAGGCTGGGCAGAGGGACACCCCACCCCTCCCCCAGTGCACAAATTTCATGCACCAGGCCTTTAGTTACTTCATAAATAGAAAACAGAGAAAAATACCTTTTAGAAAAAGTCACTTGATTTTAAATCAAATAGACATGTTTGCCCACTAGAAATTCAGCTTAGTAATCTCACAGGCATTGTAATATCTTGTAAGTTAACAGAGCTTCCATCACTGTCTTTCTACATCCTCCAGAACCAGCACATCCCACCCGCCTGCAGCCATAAACACACAACGATATAAAGGGGAACGGATCACTCTCACTAAAGGAGCTCACATTTTTATGGGCGCCTATAAGAATACATCAAGGCAGATGCAGAGACGGCCTAAGAGCAGAAGGAGTGGCGGCAGTTGGAGTGTCGGAAGTATTTGCCAAAGGGAATGGCATTAATGATCTGAGTTATTAGAGCATGTACCCACGTCCTCAATTAAGTAAAGCCTTCATAAACAAAAAATAACTGTGGGCTCCTTTCCTGAAATCCTGATAGTTAGAACATCAGAAACATAGCATTCACCCTCGTTACTCCAATGACACAATCCACAAGCCTAACAACACCCTGTTAGTCCCCAAAGGGTACCACTCTGCTGGTGCAGATGGCCCCACCTTGGTGTCAGTGCCCTGCATCACACCACAATAATAAATGTCTCTCCAAGTAATAATAATAAAAGAGAGAGAGTGACCACAGATAAGAAAGCAGGCCAGGGCATAGGGTCCGCGTGGGAAGTGGATGAGTATGTAAACTGCTTAACTCATTCTTCAGATGATAGTTGTTGTGAAAACACTGGTGATGGATTATTTCCTGCCTTGTCAGCCTTTAGGGGGTACCACACTGGCTGGTTATTGTTTTGTTGTTTTTTTAAACAGGGAAGATCCACTTGTTAAATTGATGACTCCTTTCCCCCAACCCTGGTTTTTCATTATAAAAAGGTAGAAGCATTATGTTTAGTCTGATTCTATTTTTTAAAAAACACCAAAGTTCTTTCTACCCCAAGCAGCCTCTTGAATGAGTGGGAAGTAGTAAACAGACTTTGGCTTTAACTGCATCTGCCTCGAGTGGGGTCGGGCTGGGATAAGCTAGTCTTCCTGCAGAATGATGTGGCTATGGGCTGCAGAACGCTGTCTTGCCCTGGGACAATGTGTGCCCTACCTCGGGTCACGAAGAGGCCGGCCGCCAGCCTCCAATCTACAGGGGATCCTAAAGCACGGCAGGCGATTTCCCAGGAGAGGAATCCTTTCCAGCAGAACTTCCTCAGTGAGGGCTCTCCATGTTGTTAGAGGGAACACTCACTTCCCCGCTCATCCCCATACCCCTGAAGTTATTTCTAAAAGTCTAAGAGCTGTTATCTAAATTGCTGATCTAAGGAAGCCCTGGTTTTCCTCGGAGCTTTATTCCTCCCACGTAGGACGCAAATCCAGGCTCAGAGCTGAACTGCTGAGGAGTTGAGAAGTGCTCAATCTCCATTTCCAAATGAACGCCGAGCATGTGGTTTGAAGAAGAACCCAATTATGAGTCAGTGCTGTCACTGACATCTCTGGGTTTCACTGTACCCCCTGTACTGGTCTTTTACCTCATGGGAAAGTGGCTTAAGAACAGAGCCGTCTTAGTGCAAGGCTTTCTGTTCATTAAACCAGCTGTTGGGCACCAGCACTGCTTGCCCCCAGACTAAGACAACGATATTAATCACCTTCTGTGAGCAAAACAAAAGCAACCGAGTGGATTCAATGTATTTAGCAGGAAAAGATGCAGGATGCGATCTGCATGCACTAGAAATGGTCTCAGGCGTCCGGTCTGCGTGGCGGACAACGCGACGCCTTTGGAACGCATTCCACAGCGTGAGCAGCTCTCAAGGTGGAGAGTAGCTTAGTCCTCCATGCACTCGGTTTTACAATAGGAATTAATTAAGCAGTAAACCGTGACAGGACATGCATCATGGTATCATAATCACAAGCCTCAGCTGCACTACAAGGCAAAAGGCCAAAGACGGCGAGCTTTCAAGCAGCCTGGGAATGCAATTAGGGTGAAACGCTGTGCGCCCCCGAGTGCCTTTATGCCAGGTTAAAAATTCATACAGATCACTCTCTCTCTCTCCAGAACACAAAAATAATCCACTTCGAGGGAAGTCTCACGTAAGCCATCTTCCCTCAGAATTCTTGCAAAGGTCAAAATAAAGGACAATGTGAAATTGGGAAGGCCAATGACACCCCAAGGTAAGACTGTGTCTAACGACCTCGTATGTTTGACGCATGGCTGGGCTTCCTTTGTAAAGGTGTCCCAACCCTGTCCAACATCTGTCTCACTCTCCCGAGAGACCAACTATTGGGGTCTCACTGGCACATTAATAACTTTATTGGACAACTGCTGTGCAGTGGTTCGGAGCTGGCATTTGGGAAGGGATAGGGAAATCAGCTAACAGAGTTACCATCACCATCCAGTCAATTAGCCCCAAATAACTGCTAAATGGCAGGCTGAATAATTGTTGGTTCTGTGGAAGGGAACTGAAGACAAGTATTAGCAAAGTCTCATGGTAAGCCATTGAACTCCTGCTCCCCTATCCATACTCACTTAAATGGAAATGCAACTTATACCCAATTAAGAACCCTAGGTCTGTAGTCTTTTGTTCAAATCTGAAACTCTTGAAAGGTTAAAAGCTTATCAGACCAATCAGGAAACTTGGCAAGTCTGAGAGTATTTATAGATTTAAGCAAAAACGTACACAGAATATAAATGTTACCATCAGCCATTTGACGTTTAAAGAAAACACCAACACACACAGCTGGGGTAGATTAAGTACTAACTTCAAGTCATTTGAAAGTGGTAAGAAAAAAAAATTAAACAGTGAAATAATCTAAAAACCCACCCTGGAATGCAGAACACAACTTTCTCTTTGGGTGTTAAAGAAAAAATATTTTATCAAATAGCCACTGTTCATGCAAGGGACACACATAACCGTATGGAAACTGAAAAACACCCTTTTTATCTTCTCAACACATCAAATTGTACTCATAGAAGTTTCCTCACTCTACAAGTATTCCACAGTTGAGTTCATAATAATAGAATGTATGTTGTACAAGATAAGAGAAATGAGGGAAATATTTATTTTCCTTAGAACAGCATTGGCAAAAGGTTACTAAACTGAATCACACATGTTTACAACACTTGACTCAAGTTCTTATCACTGTTTTCCCATGAAACCAGAAGCCTGGCCCCACAGGTTTCTGTATCCCTACTATCACTTCCCTCAGCCCACAGCACAGCATCAGCCCCTCTACACGTGCCCAGTCTTCACTGCCCACAGCACCAGGGAGGGGAGGTCATCACTGCTCCAAAGCAGACATGCAGATGGCCTCAGAAGTGAGCAGCCTCTCAAAATACAGTAGACCCTTGAACAGTGCAGGGGCCAGAGGAACCCCCCTCCCCTGCACAGTTGAATATCCACATATAATATGTGACTCTCCAAAAGCTTAACCAGTCCCTTAGTATCTTGCAGGAATTTGGATCCAGGACTCCCTGTGGATACCCAAATCCTCAGATGCTCAAGTCCCTCATATAAAATGGTGCAGAACCTTGCATACAGTCAACTGCTCCGCATATGCAGATTCCCAACTGCAGATCGAAAATGCTGTCTTTGATCTGCAGCTGACTGATCCAAAGGGCCGACTGTATATTCACTGAAAACTATCCCCATGTAAGTGAAGCGGTACAATTCAAACTGGTGTTGCTCAAGGGTCAACTGTACTTCTGCAGGTGGCGCTGGCTGGGTTCTCAGAGTGTGGGGCTGGTGTGGCCTCCAGGTGCTATTGCGATAACCCAGGACAAACCAGGCCTTGAGGCTTCTGGAAAGGGTTGTGCTTAAAAGCAGTTCTCACCTGCTGCAGAATGTGTCTTTCCCTCAACGTCATTAACCTTCTGTGAAGCTCTACCAGCTCATCTAGGTATGCCTGAAAGAGAAGAGTACCCCCAAGGAACACACATGTTATGAAGCAGTTCAAAAGGAAGAGAACAAATCAATAAGAACAGACAAGCAGCGACTGGAGGTCCCCATCCTACCCCCACCCAGGGTGTATGGATTCTGTGCCCAAGGCCTTTGCAGACCAAGTCTTTCTTGGCCAACTATTATTGTTTTCAAAGCAGCTGTTTAAAAAGGAGCAATTCTTGCACTTGTACTCTCTCAATGAGATTCAGTGAACAGCCTCACCTATTCACAACAATGCCTCTACAGAGAGAAGGGGAACTCCTCAATAAATTGCAAGTTATCAGTCCACTTTCATTTAAAAAAATTCTTCTATCTTAAAAGCTTCTTAACTAAGAGAAAAAGTCCAAGTCTGAACAGGGAAGGACCCATGCACATTACCAATTACATCAGGGCAAATTCTTAAAATAAAAATATAAAAAAGCCTGCCCGGTTTTCTAGCATATCCAACACTGCTAGTGAATAGCAAGTGAAAGCGCAGAAGAATGTCTGTGAAAAATATAAATCAAAATGAGCATGTGAATTGTCCAGAGCTCCCTGGAAAAGGAGAGGCGACCTCTCCTTCCAGATGCTCAGACCCATGCGTCTCTGTTAGCATAGCTGCATGGGAGCTCCTACCACCATTCGCAATGAAGGTGAAGGAAAGGTCTGGGAAGCATCAGACAGGCCTGCCCTGACCCTGCAGAGCACGTTAGGACCCTGCCCACACTGGGAGACCAGCCCCAGTAGGTCTTGCAGTCAGATTTCAGATGTATGATGTGCACTCGAGGAAAGCACACTGCACACTGCATGAGGCTCAGAGGTCCTGCTCACCTACGTCTGAGCTTCCTTCACTTTCTCCCTCTGCCACAAGTCTCTTACCACCCAATCCAATGGGCCTGAAATCCCTGGGCAATGTAGGCATCAGGGAAAATGGTAGCACAAGGCCAATCTTAATACTGGAGATAGCAGGAAGATCCAGAAAGAAACTACTTTCAAGGGGGAGGGGCTGGGTGGAGGTGGGAAATAGTGGCAACAATAAAAAATTTAAATTAAAAAAAGAATTGAAATATACTTAAAAATAATTTTTTTAAAAAAGTGAACTACTCTCGGGCACTTCTGATGAAGACAATGAGAGGCGAACCAGCACGAAAAGATCCAGGGAAACACAAAGAAACAGGACGTGTCAGAGCTGTGGCACTTGGAGAAGGCACTGGAACCTACCTTGTCACATTCGCCGTTCTTTATCTGCTTCTCTGATTTGCTTTGCTTTATTGGACTTTTCACTTCAAGAATCTAGGGATCCAAGAGAGCACGGTTAAATTTGATTTCAAGCACTTCTTAGTTAACCAGCCACCCGAACAAAGGCACTTATGGGTGAAATGTCACAGGATAACATCATTTTCCAAATAGCATTTCTCCTCTATACATTTTTTTCTTCTCTTCTAATATTACTTTTTCTGGGAAAATGAATTACTTACATCTAAAATGCTGAGTCAGGGCAATAGAGATTTTTTTTTTTTAAGTTGACAATAAGGAAATTGATCGAAGCTTCCAAGGCCGCCGCTTTGTGACAACACACACACACATGTACAGCAGCTGAGTCCTACTGGGTTATAGTTCCCTTGGGCAAGAATTTTTTCTTATTCATTCTGCAGTTTCAGCATGACTACCAGTGCTCCGTACGTTAGAGATGATAAAACAAAATTTCAAATGCCCTTTTTAGTACCTGACTTTCATATTCTAAATATTACTCATATTGCCTTGGCTGAGGGCTCAGTTGGAGCATCGCCCTGTACACCAAAAGGTTGCAGGTCCTTTCCCAGTCAATTCCCAGTCAGGACATATACCAGGTTGTGGGTTCGATCCCTGGTTAGGGCATGTATGGGAGGCAGGCAACCGATATCTCTTTCTCTCTCTTCTCTCTCTCTCTCTCTCTCTCTCTCTCTCTCTCTCTCTCTCTCTTTTCTCCTCCCTCCCTCCCTCTCTAACTAAACATACTCTTGGGTGAGGATTTTTTTAAAAATTACTCATATCCACTAAGTTGATACAGCTTTGGAAATAAAGATGGTCATCAGTGACACTGGCTGTTTCCAACTTGGGATCCTCCAACTCAAGAAATAAAAAGCCAGGACTATCTGTGTTTCAAGAAATAATGTCTTTACCCATGATAAAATACCAGGTGCCCTGCCTTTCATGTGAACCAATTACAGCGTAGGCTATGAACAGTTGTTTTGCATACTGTTCATAAGCTTCTCTGGAAAGCTAGGTTCCCAATTAAGAAAAAACCAAATTATTATTTAATAAATACAGTTGATTTCTTAGAATCTGCAAAACTGAAGATTATGAAGAATATATTTTTAAATGACTCTTGCTTAAAATGGCAAAAATCACTGAATTTATTGTTGAGTGTTAACAAATGTATCCTATATAATAAAAGGCTGATATGCAAACGGACCGAACAGAGGAACCATCGGTCGCTATGACACGCACTGACCACCAGGGGACAGATGCTCAACACAGGAGCAGGGCCCTGGTTGTCAGTGCACTCCCACAGTGGTAGCGCCGCTCAGCCAGAAGCCCAGAAGCTGGGCCCATGCCTGGTGAGCACAGCAGTGGTGGCGGGAGCCTCTCCCACCTCTATAGGAGCACTAAGGATGTCCAACTGCCAGCTTAGGCCTGCTCCCCATACCTAAGCCGGCAGTTGGACCCCCCTGCACCCAGTGCACAAATCTTGTGCACCGGGCCTCTAGTATAAACATAAAAAGCAAAGTAATTTGTCTTTTTCATTATGACCTCATTATCAAGTGAGCTGTTATAATATAAAACTAATATTAAGGAGGAAAATACCAAATAAAGCATATTTAAGTAGTTTCATATTCCTATTGCTCTTCTCTTTATCCATTCTCTGCTTTCACACACACACACACACACACACACACACACACACACACACACATCACAGTCCCATTCAAAGGTCTTCCATATTCCATAACACAAAGGAAATTTTTAAGTGAGTCCACTTTTAATTTGTATTTGACAGAGCCCTGATTGGGCTCAGAAACCTAAGTTCAGGTCCTAGCCCTTTCATTTAACATTTTTGGGGCCTCAAAAAAAATGAGATGAAATGACAGAGGTGAACAAGATAATATCCAGATACCCATTCAGCTGTAAAATTTTATACTACTAAACATTTCACCTTTTGGGGATAGGACCATGACATTCTAGGAAAGACCAAATACTTCTAGAAGGGGATATATTTCCTTTGAATTTAGAATAATCCATGGGTAAGAAGTGAGCCTCTTTCTAGCAGAGTCTTTCCTAAGAATTACCTTCATTCGATTTTAACATTAAGATAAGCAGATGACCAGACTGACTTAAAATACTAGTACAGTCCTGTTGGCAATGCAAGGAAATTCCTTAGCAGCAGAAGCAGGGGATTTTTTTTTAAACATGGTCCACTGTAAAGGAAACCAAACATGCCACCACATTCAGAATTTCCTTCTCTCTATTGTTGTTGGAAATGAGACCCCACGGGAAAACTCCAGCTCAGAGACCTAGGAGTAAGTAGGTCAGTAGATGGCACTCCTCGCCAACTCAGATACAGGGCTGGGCAACGCCGCTGAGACAATCTGCTGCGATTCCAGGCAAGAGAAAGAACCAGTGCCTGCCTGCCTGCCTGCCTGCCTGGTGCACTAGAAAACTGAATTGTGTTCCCATATCCCACCCTGCCCATTCCCCCTCCATCCCCAACTTACAGCACCCCAGGGGTCAAAGGGACTGAGAAACTGTATGTGCAAGGGAACTTTGCACACTAGGCTTTGAGAGTTCTACCACCTCCTCTTCAAAGCAGAAAAACACACAGGACATTGTGAGGCCCGAAGTCCCACCCTGCACATTCCGAAAGTGCGACAGCACAGAAGGCCAAACTACATTGAAATCCTAGTTTCTTTCTTCTGAAGCTGCAGTGGCAGGAACAAAAGCTCCGGGTGTCAGTGATCCGCCTCAAGTTACCGAGTGGCTGCCCAGAGAGGCCTCAGTTAATCTTCCTCCTTTGATCTCTCCCTGCTCCAAAATAAACAGCTTTGTCAAAACCTCATTCTGAGGGAGCTGAGCCATGCTGTAGACAATTGTTTTATTTATGATCATTTCTTATCTTTGAGGAAATGACTCCAGAATATAAAAGTACAGCACCTTGTCTTCCACGGGCTTATTTCAAACCAGTCTAACTGGATAGACTCTTTAATTTCATTCAATGTGCCTTGCAGGCGCATAGGTGATTTATGATATTCTGAATATTAACTCAGGTCCCATGGATCACTTCTTTCTTTCAAGGCCCCTCTCGCCTCCTGCCCGTCCGTACTTTCAGCCAAAAAGGATCTGGAATTTTGATTTTGTTTGAAATTCACATAAGGAAGGTTTGAAGTAAAACAAACAAACAAACAAAACCACACACATACACACAAAACCATCTCTGGTTCGAACAGCACAGCATTCGCTATGATTCCCTATGAAGTTGTACTGAGGGAACAGCCGCCCAGACTTGGGAGATGCGTCATATTTATACACAGGGCAGTGTCTGAAAATAGAACTCTGGTTAGTTGCACTTCTATCCTTAATCTGAGGACATGGCTTGAGAATTAAAATTTCAGGATTATTATTTTTTCTGTATCCCTTTGTGAGGATTGACAACTCAATTATTCAGCAGATGGATCCTCTGCTGATAGGGCATTCATGTTAATGATCTCTAGTTGCTCCTAACAATACCGGGTTAATTACTTGCTTTGTTGACATGTGACTGTCTCTCTGTCCACTTTTTTCCCCAATAGTTAGAAAATGTTTGACTCAATTAGCACTTTCCTTCTTCCTTCAGCCCTGGGGTTTTTGAGGAAAGGTAAGGAAAACTCACCGTTGCCTGCTAATTTACAGAAACCCGAGCGGTCATTATCAATGTGCAGAGAACAGCGAAGGGGCATGAAAGAAGGCAACTGAGTTGTCCTAGTTCAGTTAGGCCTTCCCAGTATGTTCCTGTCTATTTTATTTGATGTGAAACCTCAGTGAATCACACCCCCACACACTAATAGAAGGCTGAAAAGACATTCCAGGGTGAAATTTACAGACTTTTAGATTTTTAAGAATTGTTTACTATTTCACTGCTGAGGCGTGAGGAATTAAGGAAGACGGGTAAGAAGACTAGAAAGTTTTTACAAAGTTCTAGGACACTGATTTAAAGGGACAGCATCACACCTGGCCCACTGCGGGTGATTTGAGGGGTTAAGAAACAATATTACACCAAGTTTTAAAAAGCTTTTCCCACTCTCAGCTCCAAGAGATGGCTCCAAGGAGGGAAGCGTTCTTGTGGTACGTGTATTTTTCTAGCCCGACTAGCGAAAAGTGAAAGCATATGGACGCTCTTATTATGCTTATAAGTGCATGGAGAAAGTGACATATAACTGAGTATTCCTGACAGACTGATGATTCACATGTGTGAAGCTACATTTGTTGAATAAACATATGCCAAGGAGCCAGTGGTATGCTGTTTAATCGGATAAAGTAATTCTTACCCTCTCGAGATAAATGATTCTATTCATTTTTGTTCTTGTTTTGCTAGACAGGTTGCAAAAAAAAAAAAAGGAGCAGTGTGATGAAGAATTCAGATCTTCCCCTGAAGCCAGGCTCAGCTCAAGGCTGCCCATCCAGGTAGGGTGTAGAGGCGGCTTTTAGGTTTGAAAGGCGAGAGAGGGGTTTGTTGGAGCTGCACTTACTTAGCAAGCACAGACTTAACCTTGACTGGGAAAGATGCTGAAGGGGCCTCGTGAGGGCAGGAAAGCAGAACGAATGCCCTTCGCTCCTGGCATTGCTGCCGCCGCAGCCTGTGAGGCAGCCTAAGTCTACTACACCACACATGGGAGCTAGTAAGATTAAATTGCATGTAAAAACATATTCAAGGTTCAAATTCTACTGCTTTGTCAGCTCATGCTGAAGCACAAATTTACAAATTTACAAAAGAATTCCAAGTTATCCTCATAGCCAACTGGTTGGTGATGATGGCTGTGCCCCGAGCCTTCACTTCCCCCTAAGATGCTTCACTTGTGGTGCTGGGCAGCCAGGTCAGAGGCGAAAGCTGGTTGGTGGGCCCTGGGCTTGGCTGGCACTGGAGATGGGGAAATGCATGAACTGTAGGGAGTAGGGTATGAATAAGAACGCGCTAACTCCTTGATAGCCTGTCTGTAACAGATGATGAGGTAGGGCTTGCACTCATATGGCGGACACAAAGAAACAGCAGTTGAACTGGAGTTGGTGAGGTAAAGATCATTGATATTATTCCTACTAAATCATGAGGACTTTAAGATGTAGAGAAACATTATAAATGAGGAATTTTACATTTTAGGAGATCTTTGCTTATGCTTCACACAAAAGTCAAAAAGAAAAAGTCTTCAGATGGAAAATGACATTTTCCTAACAAAACAAAGATCCAAATTCAAGGGCAAGGCCATTTGAAATTGTAGGACACCTGTGAAACAGAATAATCTTAGGAAAATGCAGCTCTTTCATTTTCAAAGTAATAATATTCACACGGTAACTTGCATTAAGCAATTATTGGAGAGGTCACTGAGAATCTACACAAAGAGACAAGGATAAGCTTCGGTGATGAGAGTTACCAACTCAATGCACAATGAGGCTTTTACAACATTCATGATTTTTTTGGAAATAGTTTATATTAGTAAGCACTTAAAATATCCCAATCTCAATCATTTAAGAAAAGCTCTTCATCATAGCTTTCAAAAGTCCTGCCTAGACCTTATCCAAACAGTTGTATTCTGAGTTAAACTATCAAATTAATAAGCTTTCCTTTAGCTCAATTGTAACAACAAGGATAATGACCGTTATTTACTGTGCACTTTATTAACAAACATACACTCCCAAGTGATGGTCCTCTTTCTCTGGATAAGCACACAGAGGCAGAGCACATAGAGTAACAAACCTCTGCCACCAAACTGAGTGCCAGGTAGTTATGGGTACCACCTGGTGCTCTTCACATGTATTATTTCTCATCCTCCTAATAACCAGCAAGGTGGGTATTAACATCCCCGTGTACAGATGAGGAAACCAAGGATCCACAGTTAAAGTTAATTTCCCACCTGTAAATTACTGTCAGATAGTAAAAGAAAGAACCAGGCTTTATTAGTCCACAGGTCCTATCTCCCTAATTCATTAAGTCGCTTACTTACTGTAAAGGGGGAAAATATATAGAAATCAAGAGTAAAGGGGCAGCATTTTTGTCACCACTCCTTTCCTTCTTGCATCTAATTGGCCCATTGATTGGAACATGCTTTTCATGACAACAGAAGTTTACATAACCTTAACTGCGTGCTTATTTCTAAGGTTGTACATTACCATTTATTTGAGATCAAGAGGAACTTTGTTTACAGTTAAGGGGTAAAAAGTTTTGTGTGCTTTGTAAAGTGGTCACATTTCAGTCCTGAACAGTGCAAACCCAGCGACTTACCTGGTTGTTGTTGGTTTTTAATAAGGGTGGCGGGGGTTCGTGGTGTAGGGGCGAAGAAGCAGAACTGCTCTCACTATCGCTGCCATCGCTTAAGCTAACTCTGAAAAGAAACAGAGAGAAGTCATATGCATCAATACAGACGGAAATCTATGGAAACAGTGCAAAGAGTGAAGTATGCAAATACTCTGTATCTTGAAAACGTTCTTTAATTTCTACACCTGCTACCCGTATCGACGCTTCCTTTGCATCTGGAACTGTGTTGTGTGTTAACCTGCTATTTTTCATGTAATGATCCCTATTTCACAGATGAGAAAACTGAGACTAGGAGAGACCAGGTCACTTACCTAGGGCAGCGGTCGGCAAATTGCGGCTCATGAGCCACACGCGGTTCTTTGGCCCCTTGAGTGTGGCTCTTCCTCAAAAGACTGCCTTCTGCGCATGGGCCCTGAAGTTTCAGTCGCACTGTACCTGCACTCCCGCACGTGGTATTTGGTGGAAGAGCCACACTCCAGGGGCCAAAGAGCCGCATGTGGCTGGCGAGCCACAGTTTGCCAACCACTGACCTAGGGTCACAGAAGTAAAAGTGGTTCCTTTAGGGGAGTGATGGCGAACCTTTTGAGCTCGGCATGCCAGCATTTTGAAAAACCCTAACTTAATTCTGGTGCCGTGTCACAGAAATTTTTTGATACTTTCAACCATAGTAAAAGATTTATATTTTGATATTTATTTTGTATATTTAAATGCCATTTAACAAAGAAAAATCAACCAAAAAAATGAGTTCGCATGTCACCTCTAACATGCGTGTCATAGGTTCGCCATCACTGCTTTAGGGTCAAACCCAAGCAATGTAACCCAGAGCCGGTGCTCAGCCACTCAGTGTAGCAGCCTCCTTTATTCATTTATCTCCCTGCTCCAGCTCCACCCGCCTACTACCATCAAGCAGGTCACCCAAGCTTGCAGAAGGTCAACTAAATTACACAGATTGTAAGTTACTATCTTTTCATTCCCTTTCCCCCTGCCTCTTTGCGACAGGTGAAAATTTTACAAATATAGCTAAAATACAGATATCAGGAGTGGAAGCAACTGCTAAAAAGAATGTGGACAACAGCCTTGCATGACTGACAGCTCGGGAGACATCTGAGGATGGGATGTGTGAAGCTTCTCATGCTGGAACCACGGCCACTCATTTCTACTGTGTCCTTAGGTCTGACCACTGAAACACTTCATTGGGAATATACTAGAGCAGTACAGAGAATGTGGAATTGTAAGTGATATGAATCACCATCTTCTAATGTGGAATTATGCTTTAGAAAAATACAATGGTATCTTTCAACAACTAAAGACAATAAAAATAGCACCCACTTCCCTACTGCTTTCTTTTCAGAACACAACGGAATTTTCTTCTAGCCAAAGTAGGAGGCATTTCTTTATTCTACTCTGCTGACTGCATGTCCTCCTTCAGAAATGCCCTTCTGTGTTTGCTCCCTCTCTTCCGTGATGCAGGAACCTCATGTAATATTCTTCTCGGAAACACGAAACGCTTTAGAAATCTGGACGGTTTTCCTCTCCCTCTGAATAGGCAATCACATTCTAGCTCTATAATATATTCAGATAGACAAGATACAAGATTGGAAATGAAAAGGATCCTGGGGCAGCCTTTTAGCAAAAACGGATAGAACTTGTTTTTCTTAACTAAATTACATTAATGAAGTGTTCAGCTGAAGCGCTGCTTTAAAATACTCCTTGGCTGAAGTGGAAGGCTGAGTAGTTAAACTGATTAAGCAGTTGAGACTTCACAAGTGCAGCGAAGATCAAATGTTACACTGGCTCTGCTGTGCTAACGGCACGTGTTGGGCAGGGGAAAAAGGAGAGCGCCTCCAGCAATGTGCCCGGCATGGGATGGCTCACCAACGTGTCCGATCGGACCCACACTGACTCAGGGGATGGGACGAGAAGCGGGTGGGCAATAGCTGATCACAGTATCTAGATCTTCTCAATAACAATAACTTGGGTAATTGTCTAAATAGGTCAAGCGTTTTTCATCAGCTAAAACCGAGAGCAGCCAGTGATCAGGATTTTGATTGTTATCAATACGCTCCTCCCCTCCAAGTTTCGGTCCATTTTTAGGTCTTTTTGTCCTAGCAGTTGTCCTTCGTATAAAATTAAAGACTTCTGAAGGGAAATGATATAAGGCCAGGGCCATAAGGTTCCTTGTTTTCTCCTGTTTAAAATGAACACAGCCCTAGACGGTTTGGCTCAGTGAATAGAGCCTTGGCCTGCGGACTGAAGGGTTCAGTTCTGGTCAAGGGCACATGCTGGGCTGCGGGCTCAATCCCCAGTAGGGGGCGTGCATGAGGCAGCCAATCAATTGATGTTTCTATCTCTCCCTCTCTCTTCCTCTCTGAAATCAATAATTTAAAAAAAAGA